TCCGAACAAGCTTGAAAATAATCTATCACTTGTCTCACAATATTGGGATTAATTCGTCGTAGCTGAGAAGCAAGACTTTGTATTGAAAAAAATAAAATCAAATTCACAAACAGAGCATTTTTTCACTATTTTTACTGTCAAAATAAAATATACTTTCCTTTCAGGAAGCCATGAAGATTAGATATTTTTCTCTTTACAGTGCACCAAACGCAATAAATGAAGGAATCAAGCTCCCAATCAACTGGAACATGAGCCCAGAAAACTCAAATGTATAGCCATTAGCATAGCACTCCCATTGGTTTAGGACCACATTCAAAACTTCATAGTTCAACTCAACCTTTTATATTTTATGAAAGAAAACCCGTTTCCTCTACCAGTTCAACATAACACCACCACACTGCCCTCTTCGACACTCCCCTCCCCCCCAAAAAAAAGAGAGAAAATGAGATTCTTTTTGAGGAGCTTCTGCTTCTCTTAAACGCAGCTACCGCTCATTTCTTTTCTTTTTTTCCTTCCACACGGATCGTACTCTTCTAACAAGAAAACTTGATTTCAGATCTCCTTTTTAAACGGCGTTCATTTCTTGGCGGTTGGGTTTAGAAATATGGTGGCAGAAGCTTGGATTTTGAAGATGGGAAGCCAGGTAAGTAGCAATCTTAAGCACGCACTTCTTCTTGAATCTTACAAGAAAAGGAGCAGCCACAGCCACAACCATAACCACCCAAGAAATAAACGAGACTCGAAAGAAAAAAAACTCATAGGTATCTTGTCTTTTGAGGTTGCTAATGCTTTGTCTAAAACTGTACACCTTCATAAATCCCTCACTGATTCTGAGATCTCGAAGCTTAAAAATGAGATCTTGAAAAGCGAGGGAGTCAAGAACTTGGTGTCCAATGATGAAAGTTACCTTATTCAGCTTGCTTTGGCTGAGAAACTTGATGACTTGAACAGGGTAGCTAATGTTGTTTCTAGGCTGGGAAAGAAGTGTGTCGAGCCTGCGTTGCAGGGTTTTGAGCATGTTTATGCGGATATTATTAGTGGGGTTATTGATGTGAAGGAATTGGGGTTTTTGGTGAAGGATATGGAGGGTATGGTTAAGAAGATGGAGAGGTATGTGAATGCGACTTCTAATTTGTATAGCGAACTGGAGGTTTTGAATGAATTGGAGCAGGCTACCAAGAAATTTCAGCAGAATCAACACGAAGAGAGTCAAAGGGCGTTTGAGCAGAAACTTATTTGGCAGAGACAGGATGTGAGGCATCTTAAGGAGATTTCTCTTTGGAACCAGACTTGTGATAAGGTTGTTGAATTGCTGGCTAGGACTGTGTGCACTATTTACGCGAGGATCTCTACTGTTTTTGAGGAATCTAAGTTGCAAAAGAAGGGCCCTGGGGCTGCTGAAGGGGCCGGTTCCTCCCCTCCTATGAAGGAAGAATGCGGGGAGGTTTCAGGTCATATTGGTGATTTACTTAATTCGCAAAGTATTTCAGGACCGCTGAGAGGGGCTGTTACCAAGAGAAGTAGCAATGGGTGCCAATCGGGACCAATTGAGAGAGCCCTGATGGAGAAGAGGGAGACTCATATTAAGCCTCAGATTGCTTCACGGAAAGGTGAAGTTGATCTATTATTTCGAACTGAAGATATTGTTTTTCCATGTGGGACTAGTCCTGGAAGGCTTTTTTTGGATTGCCTCAGTTTAAGTCGTTCAGCTTCAAAGTTTGATGATGATGACAGTTGTGTTGTTGTGGACGAGGACCAGAGGAGCCAAATTTCCCGTTGTTATAGTGTTGGCAATGGTAGTTTGAAGAGAGAGCACTCATGCCCTTCAAGGTGTTCCAATCAGGGTGTCTTTTTTAGTGGAGATCAAAGAAATGCCAGGTGTGGTGCGATGAATAATGCACGGTTTGGCGCCAAAAGTAGGCTGATGGTGTATGCTCCCCCTTCCACCATTGGAGGATCTGCCTTGGCCTTGCATTATGCAAATGTCATAATTGTTATAGAGAAACTGCTTCGCTATCCCCATTTAGTGGGCGAGGAAGCAAGGGATGACTTGTACCAGATGTTACCAACAAGCCTAAGAATGTCTCTGAGGACTAACCTCAAGTCCTACGTGAAGAATCTTGCTATATATGATGCTCCACTTGCCCATGACTGGAAAGATACTCTTGATGGGATACTGAGGTGGCTTGCTCCTCTTGCTCATAACATGATCAGGTGGCAAAGTGAGCGTAATTTCGAGCGGCACCAAATTGTGAAGCGGACAAATGTTCTTCTGCTTCAGACATTGTATTTTGCTGACAGGGGAAAGACGGAGACAGCTATTTGTGAACTTCTTGTTGGGTTGAATTATATATGCCGTTATGAACATCAGCAGAATGCATTGTTAGATTGTGCAAGTAGTTTTGATTTTGAAGACTGCATGCAATGGCAATTGCAGTGCCGAGCTTCTTATGTTGATTAATTATCTTAATTAATCTGATTACCTGAAGGAGGTTGTAAATTGTAGTTGTTGACTCCTTATACTCGAATGAAGACACAAATGACAGTTCAAATAGGATGAACATTCAAGCTTTTCACGCGATGAATTACATTATTGAAGTCCTTGATTGATTAATGCCTTTCACCGCCAGGTATGGGAAGTTTTGAGTTTTGAAGTACACATTCAATTATTTATGAGAAAATCTCTGTTCTGCAGAGTTCGTATATAGGTGTACAATTTGTATTTCTTTACTCATCAAAGTTTCTGTGAAATTTGCATGTAGAGGTTTAATTCATGGAATCAGGTCATTGGAGATATAATCGCTGATGTCAAGTTTCTATTTCTTAATTTTCTGATTAATGTTTGCATCTCCTGATTGATGGATGATATTTATGATCAGTGCTTCAAATCAGTCATCCCAAGTAATGCTTCTTAAGAGCATGCTTCAAATCAGTCATCCCAAGTAATGCTTCTTAAGAGCATGTAACAGGTTGCTGTACAAGTAATACTTAAGCATGTGAAAGTGTCTGATAATGTGTTGCTTTCTCTTGAAAGCATGCTATTGATGGTGTCAGATGGATTGTAGATCAGCTTGCAATATGCATCTGCGGTCAAGGGGTTTCAGTGTTGAAATGGGCAAGTAAATATCTATTGGCTAAAATTTCTAGTCAAAACTGGCTATCCCTAAGAGTAAACAACAAATTAGAACTCATCTAGCGACACATAAAATCACATTTTCTTGCCTAACGATGACTTCTTTATGTTTAACTGACATCACACTTCTCTGTATTTTCTAGCATTATGCACCTATGAATTACACACACAATTTGTGTTGCATGAGGATAGCAAGACAGTAGAATGGATGTGAGATGAGGTCACTGGCATGGAAAACAGTTGATGTGATGCAAGAAAATGCTCGAGTTTGTGCCTTTCTCTCTCTTTATTATTCTTGCAACTAGAAGCATCAAGTGCAGAAGAGGCCTTCATGTGCATGAGCATAATATATCGGTACGGGAATGAACATTTTGATCTAAATTAACAGTTTTTATTCCGGTGCCGTGAAGATTCGATCATGAGCATAATATATCGGTACGGGAATGAACATTTTGATCTAAATTAACAGTTTTTATTCCGGTGCCGTGAAGATTCGATCATTACATTCATATCCAATTAGAAGTCAAGTGATTATTTATGTCTATAGATGCAGAACATAAGCCATGATATAGTGATTCGGTTACTCCCCTTAAAGCCTACGAATAATGTACCGAGTTTGTCTTTTGAAATAATGGCTATGATTGACGAAACAATATTCCCAGTTGTCAACACCTCACTTTTTTCTTTGTAGTTCATGATCTGAGAGTATTTCACTTATGTATGATTCTCGTTCAATCTTACTTCTGATATGAAGCATTATTGTGCACTGTGAGTACTTTCCGTTTAGGGCCAACCTGTATTAATTTGCAGCGGCCCAACAAAACCTCTTAGGCAGATCAGTAAGTTTAGACAGAACAACATTTTCTGAAGTTGGCGTGGATCTGATATGCCAGGGATCCGTATTTTGTATTACTTTATCATCAGACACCCTGTGGGCTTTGACAATTTACCAGATTGAACTCGTCAGATTATTCCCCCCCTGCTTTTCATGTTCTGAGAGAGACAATCAGCGGTAAAAAACGATGATGATGGATCATTTCTTGCGTTCTAGAGATCCTGTAATACGGAAATTTTTTACTGCAAAGGAACCAGATGTATCCAAGGCTGAAAGCTGATGGTATCATGTGGCATTAAACTGGTTACGGATGGTACAAGAGGTCATTGATGTGATAATAAAAGACCCACCTTGTGTAGGCAGATAAGGTCACATGATCAAGCTCAGCTATAAAAGGCCCCCCTGCCCCACTCTATTTTATGAAGATAGAGATGCCTTGGTAGAGCCTGGTATCTGCAGAGTGAGGAAAGAATACTTTAGCTTTCTACGAGTATTGAATTACTCGTCCAAGCCAAGGGCATTCTGGATGTAGAGTCTGTCTGTTTGTATGTATCAAAAATATTTTTAAAATATTTTATTTTTTATTTTAAATTAGTATTTTTTTAATATTTTCATATTATTTTAATATCAAAAATAAATTTTAAAAAATAAAAAATATTATTTTAATAACAATAGCTACTAAAATAGCTAAGAGGCTGATTGAATGCTAGCCGGTAGCTAAACACCTCCTTAGAGTGTATGCTGTGAGAACAACTTTTTTATTTAAAAAAAAAAAAATTGAAAACAGAAGGCAAAAACAATACCGAACAGGATTGTGTTTGAGTAAAATTGGGCTCGCCTTAGACAATAATGGGCCATCTTGGAAGGCTCAATAACTTTAAACAAGTCCATCATATTCACGCTGGACTTTCATGGCCCATTAATTAATTTCTTCGGTTAAAAAAAAATGGCAACAAAAATCGAAAACAGATACCCGTTGGTGCCATAACCATTTCATTTCTAAAAGAAGTTTATCAGCGACCAAACACCCGCAATGCATAAAGACGCAGAGACCATCGCTGTGATAATCGATTCAGCAGCAGAAGCAGCCAATGAATTACAGAAGGTTTACGATTCACATACTCCTTTCAATCTTACCATTTGTCAGTCTTGGTTAACTGTTTCTATTCCAGTTCTGGAGGGTTTTAATATTTTCGAATTTTTAATTAAAATTATAACATAGCATTCGATTTTGATTTTATTGAATGCAAATCCTTTATTGATATTTCTTATGTATTTTGGACATGATAGCTTAGAGAACATCTCTCTTTGATAATGGGATTGAAGAAGGTGGTCTTAGGGCATCCTCTTCCTAGTCCTACGAAACCGACGACCATGACCATAGCAATAACAAGGCCGTTCACGCTTTGCAAGACAAACTTCCTTTCCTAAAGAGAGTAGTGTGTCTGTCTGTCAGAGCCCGCATTTTCGGGGTTTAAGCTTAGTTTTACATTCTATATTGTCATGATTAATTTGGGATGACATGCACAATTCTCTTTGCTTCCTGACTTGTTTTTTTTAATGTTGTTGCTGCTGCTGATGTGTAGTGGAGTAGTATTCTGACCTGAGGTGACATTGTGCAGCAGTGTTTTTTTTTTTTAGAGTATTACAGCACCTGCATCTTTGGATGTTTTTAAATGATGGGTGCTTATAAGGTTCTTTCTGGTGATATGCATGTTAAACAAGCTTGCACGTATTTGACATAGCTCAGGGGCTTCTGCTCTTTATTTATCGTTGTCCGTTGTGTTGAGGTGGTTTTCCTGTTCAGTGTTTTGGAAAGCTCACGTTTACTAGTTTTTTAAATCTCTTGAAATTTGTGATTGTTGTTTGTGCAAACTATTGTATAGCACCCAGTGAAGTTTCACAATGCTTATGTATACAAATTGGAATACTGGATCAAATTCTCCTGCTCGTGTGATGGAGCAGGGAATGCAAGGGTAGTGCCATTGTTGCTTAAAAGTAACTGTAGAAAGAAGGTTCAAGATGTTACGACACAGTACATGCTATCCTTTTTCTTTTAGTTGCCCATAATGCATATACTTAATTGATTTCATACACACACTTCAACTCAGACAAGTTTGTTGGTGTTGGCTCCACTTTTATTATGAATTATGCCTGTGTAATTCTATGTACGTGCAGATATCCCTCCTATTTGTGCATTCTCTCCATTTCTGATCTAATAAAATCCCTTTTTCTAAGGACAAAAGGTTTCGCATATCATGCACTCTCTTGTGTGCATTCTCACAGCCATGAATTTTTTCATGATAGACAGAATTTTGATCAGGGAAGGGAAATGAAAGTTTAGCTAAGATTGATGCTTTACCGTGCAAATTAAATAGGTGTTTTTGGCTGATGATGCATTTAGATGTTTAATGTCCAGTGGAAATGGAAAAAGAAAAAGAAAAAGAAGGAAAATCATGGCCTGACATTTTCTGGTTATTTGAATTTTCCTTTAAAGCTACTTGTGATACGTGTATATCTTGTTTGCAGCTAACAGTTGATAAACATGAGGAAGTGGAGAGTCAAAACCGTTTGCATGATTGAATGGTATGTGTTTTGTATTTTTGAAAACAATTTTGACTTGTTTATTCTGAATGAAATTTGCTGTAAATCAGGGCAATAACATGGACGAATCAAGGGGCATAATGTCAGGAACCACGGATCAATTCTAGATGGTACATAAGCCAGAACTACTTTACAGTCATATTTGTTCTACTTCCTTAGCTGCGTGGAAATGGCTGAGCATAATAAAATTATTGCTATGCAGGTATTTGAAATGAAATCTAGTAGGAGAACACGTGCACTTGTGGGGTTTTTCGACCTCTTCTTTTTATTTCTGTATTATCTCATTAGGGAAATGAATTAATGTTGGAATTCTTGCAAATAACTGTTCCATATCTGAATGGTGCCAGATTTACCGCTTTTAAACTCTTCAAACAAATGATTGGAACGAGGGGCAGTGAGTTAAGTTGTCTTCCTGCCAAATTTAGTACACTTACAAATCTTGGTCAGCTTCCATTGAGGTAAAAGTTTTCTACATTTCAACATAGGTTTAGCTTAGGAAAACAAAATTGAAGAGGAGGAAAATGAATTCTGAAGTAGGGATGCATGAGCAGAGCAAATATCTTCCGTTATTGCTGATTAACTTTTTGTTGGCAGGGTCCTTGGATACTTGAAGCAAAGTTGAAGGAGAATTGTGAGAACCTCACCTTCGAAGTCTTTGATTAACAATGGGAGTTGGGCACGCAAAAAATGCTTGGAATGGCACTGCAAGTGCGATGATCCTGGTCTTTTCTTAAGTAGCAAAGAACTCATGGTTTACAGTATCTGCTATGAGATGACCTGTGATTGAATGTGCACTACGTGCTTACCATATTGTGGTGATTTTAGTGAGTAAATATTGAGTGGAAGCAATTGGTAGAACTTAAGGAAAATATCAAGGCATGTTAGCATGCAGTGTTTCATTAGTCTAGTGTTAAGGATACTCCCGACGATGCAGTGGGGATTTCCCAGCACACGATATCAAATAACGAAATCATGAATTTTTTTGGCTAGGGTAAAAGACATGGTTAAGCTGTTGCCCGCCTGTTGACTTAGATTTATGCTCATAGGCTCATAGCACATCTTTCTATTGAAACTACTATACCCGGCGAAATCCTCTAAATTATAGATTCATGGAGACTTTTAGCTCCAAGTGTCTTTAGCTTTAATCGTACAGCGTGCATGGTCAACATCCACTCTAAATATTGTTCAATTAGCCTGTAAGAGGGCATGGGATGTTCGGCTCAAAATGGAGACACCGAGTTTGGTAGCAGAGAGATTCTGTCGGTAGTAGTGCTTTTAGATGAGTCACTTAAACTGATTTATTTGTAGGGATTGTGATGCTATGAGAAGTTTAAATTGATCACCAAAATATCTTCAATTATATCTTGAACGTGACAAGTATGTTTCCCTGGCAAAATTTTGTGAATTTACAGAGTATATTGCCTTGGTAAATTATTTCCATGCGCGCAGATTTTGGAAGTCCTGGAGCCAAATTAAAGAAAATAAAATTATATTGATTCCAAGCTTCAAACTCGAGAATTCAAGTGAGAGAATAGATCCTCTTGACCATCGGGCTAATCCTTGAGCTCTACATGCAACGATCAACAGACAACATATTCAATAGTGTTCTTTAGGCATTGCTGTATGACGCATGATCATTAGAACAAAATTAATGGAAGGTGAAGGCTTTGTATTGATGTTCTTAAATACTGCTGATGAATCTACCCTGAGTTTTTGGGTTTTCAGCTCTGGTTCAGGCTGAAATGTTGAACCGGTCATGCTGTAATATGTGGAATTCAACCGCGTTCATGCCGACCAGTTTAACGTCCACGCTGTTTTCTAGTTTCTTTAGCAATAATCTATTGACTCAGGGCCGGAGGATGCAGGGGAAGTAATTAAAAATTTCAGGGTCAAAACTAGTAAATTTTAAGTTTTGGTCTGCCATGAGATTTTTTCTAGTCTTCTACCTCCTTAAAAAATTCACTTTTCGACGATCTCAAGAAGTTGGTCTAACAGTTATAAAGATAAGTTTTTTTAACTTACTGAATTCAACTTTAAAGCAGGCATTTAGTGGAATTTATTAAATATTTTTAGATGCATCAAGTTAATGTAAATGTGCGTCCTCGGAACCACCGCAGAAGTTATCTATTTTATATTGACGCGTAAAATGAACTAAAAAAATTATTTAATGTACAAATAATAATAATAATTTTTTATTTTTTTTGGTTGACTCTACCACTTCTCATTCCTCTTTCAATAGAACTCCACAATGTGTGATATCACAGCAGGTCATTTTCCAACATATTCAGCAGCAGAATTCTTAGATGCAAAAGTTGGATGGTATTTTAAAAAAATGACTTCTTTGATTAAAATTATTTATTTTATATTTTTTTTAAAAAAATTAATAAAACAAAAAAAAAATATAAAAAATGATGTAAAGACTATGGCTTTACAATTTCTTCGAAATTTGGTAGAACACTTTTCCAGCCTAACCTAGTTGTAGCCTTATAGATGTCCAGTTTCTGAAACGCAATAATTATATAATGCCAATACAACCATTACTTGTGTCTCGTAGCCTCAACGAAAATTTCACGGCATTTGCATAAACTCTACACATGGATTTACACCACCAAGCAGCTTGATGCATGAGTTATTTAATTTTTTTATTTAGTTTAGGATTTTTTTATTTAGCATTATCTTTTTAGTTATTCCTATAAATAATTTTTCTGTTCAGTGTTATCATAGTATTCTAGTTTTTTTTTTCTTTTTTATATAAAAGACTATAATCATTTTTTGACAAGTGAAATTTTGATATATAAAAATCAATAGATATGTGATCTCAATCTTCAAGGATTTTAACTTATAACAAATACTATTATCTTTCATGTCCTATCAGTTTCAGTTAATATCAAAGTCTAGATTTTTCTAGGAGAACTCTTTGATTGTCATGACTAAAGAGGTCATGGGATGTATTCATGATGGATGATGATTTTCGACCGAGAAGTTTTTATCTTAAGAATGTTGTGTTGAACATGTTTATGGTGCCGGAGAATGATTTTCAGTCGAGGAGATTTTGCTTCAAAAATATTATGTTGGGTGTGTTTGTAGTGGCGAAGGACGGTTTAATTTAGGTAAAGAAATTATGCTAAAAAAACTTTCGTTCAAAAATTGATGATTAAGAATATAAAAAGAAAAGTTATAGAGTTGACCCATCATTTGGCTGATTAAGATCAAATAAATTGTGAGATGGATGATTGTCGTCTCACATCTAGATTTGAGAATCCATATTACAGGCATGATACAATCTCATTTAGGATAAACAATTTGAACTTGAGAAAGAGTTCTTCTAACTTGGGTAGAGTGATCCATAGATTTTTTAGAAAAATAAATATTTTTTTTAGTTGTATTTATTTCTTCTTATTTAGTTTAGGAATTTATTTTTTCATATTGAATATTATTATGCTTTTCTAGTTTCTCCACTCAAAGGGAATAGTTTTTTTTTTTGTATTTAGTATTACTAGAGTTTTCTAGTTATATATATATATATATATATATATATATATATAAGATTGCAAAAATTTTTTTACAAGTGAAACTTTAATGAAAATAAATAGAATATTAATTTTGAGTGTCTCTCCATAAGTATGATGTTATTAGTAGCTCTTAAAGGTTTTTATAATAAACATAACTATTCTTTGATTCCTAACTACATCATGAGTATCACCACCTCCGGTATCCTTGACCTAATAGCAAATTTATTGACAACGTACCTTATGAAAACATTATAGAGTTGCAGTAATTGTTGTAATTAAGATGTGGCCTATATAAATAAAATAATGGGCCCTTAAGTGGTTTGATAGAATATTAATATTGAAATCCTATTGGTCAATTTAGATAAGTGATTTTATTTTTAATAATTGCACACATGATGAAGGTGCATATATATAAAGTCTATTTAGGGAAATTAGTCATCTTTCTACCTATAACAATATGTTTTATTCCATCAAAACTTACAGAAGGAATTGACATCTTGGATTACAATCTCTCGAGGGGTTTACTATGACTCCATGTATGATTTTTTTAAAAGCTTTCTTTATATATTTATTTGAATGTAAAAATCATGAAGTTCTAAAATCATGCACATGATATTTTTATATTTTGATTGTTTACGTATATGATCATATAATTGCTTACACGTAGTATCCTAGATTCAATTTAGGGGTTTTATTTTAATTTTCCGCTGCCTATTATGATAAATTGTATGGATGATTATTGGGAAGTATTATTATTTGTATTTCCATTATTGATGATGAATTACAGATTTCAAGATATAATTAAATCTATTGATACTCGTGATGGGTGCCATATAATTATTGTTCAGTGAGTTGGCTTTGACTGTAAGATTCAAGCAAAATTAATATTATTCTAAAGGGCTTAGGGTCTAAGATATACCATGCCATAATTCTATGTATCTTATAGGCATGATTAATCACACGTGAACTTTGAAATTGAATAGCCAAAACATGTCGCACGCTGGTTTTGCATCATTCATCACATGACCACTTTTTATTTGAATTACTAAATTAAGTTTTAGGCACAATGCAAAGCCTTGCATTGTATTCTATTATGTCCAAAAATTAGAGAGATAATGTAGATTTAAAGTTAAATTAAATGATTATTAAATAAATTTGTATAAAAATTAAATCTAGAAATATAATTATATTTTTAATAGATCAATTTGATTTAATTATCTATCAAATTAGAAGTTTAATAATGTTTAAGAATAAATTTGGATCCTATTAAAGATTTAATTAAATATAAAGACTTAATTATACTTTAAATGAGTTAAATTAATTCTATTAGGGGCTTAATTGATGAAAAAATAATTTTAAAAATTTAATTTGGATTTAACTGAGAAGATTAAAATTTAAGGAGATCAAATTGAATTTTTACAAAGTTAATTGATTCAAATTAGGGGTAAAATTATAAAAAAATTAAAAATTTGAGGTCAATTAAGATTTGAATTGAAAAAATTTAACGTTTATGAATTTTTTTAATTTAGTCATTAATTGACTCCAAAACTTTAATTTTCTTGTGATTTGACTTATGATTTAAATTAATTAACTTTGTAAAAATTAAGTTGGATTTTTTAAAATTTTAATCTTTTCAATTAAGCTCAAATTATGTTTAAAAATTTAATTTTTTACCACTTAAATCTCTAATAAAATTAATTTCATCCATTAAAAGCATAATCAAGTCCTTGTATCTAATTAAATCTTTTAATTGAACTCAAATTAATTTTTATACATAATTAAACTTTAATTTAGCTCATTATTGAATCAAATTAGTCTCTTAAAAATATAATTATGTCTCTGGTCTTAATTTTAATATATATTTATTTAATAATTATTTAATTTAACCTTAAATATGCATTGTTTTTTCTAGTTTGGGATATAACAAAGATATAATTATATTTTAAATTTTAATCTGATTTTTCTATATGTATCTAAAATCTTTTTCAACTAGTTTTTGCCATATATTATCGTCTTGCTTTTGTTTTTATGATTTTGTTACAAGTTAAAAAAATAAATGTTAAAAAAATAATAAAAAAATAAATTATGGCAGATGAATTGTTCCAAGCAAATTCAATGAATAGCTAATTAGCTATTGCTTGGTTAGTACATCTTCTATTTAAAGATAAAGAAAGATGTGTACTTTTTGTTCGTCCCAGAAAAAAATCGTAACATCGTCGCAATGCTAGTCGTTAAAGTAATAGAGGTGGTGGAACAAGATAAATAGATAACAGGCACCTCACTAAGTGAAGAGGAAAAATTCAAAGAAAAGACTCTCATTACCAGTGAAGTACAAAGTGATGTGAA